ATCTTCCCTCTGCTGCTATCATGTTTCATTGATCCATTGGTTCCTGTCAGGTATCGTAACCTCGAAGAAACATTTAAAAAACCAAAGTTGGGAATCCACAATCATGAATCGATGATAAATTGTTTGAATATACTTATATGCCTTTTCAAGTCACCAGCTTTTGCACTGGCGATTACAAAAGGCGAATTGCGTTTATAAAAATATTCAAAGGTGGAATGGATGTCGTAGTGCTATACGTGAACACCTGCTGTGTTGCCTTATTTCACGGTGATGTTTTTCAACCACCGAGTGAGCTTCTTTGACGACTTACCACCGCCCCTCTGTGTATCTTAGACGCAGGTGGACATTTTGGTACATGGTTGTGCCAGTTCTTGTACAAGCACTTTGTTCAACTACTCGAGTTTTCCAATCATGGCAAGAGATTGGATAGCTCGAGTAGCCCCGTTTAGGAATGACAGGTATCATGAGTCAAGCTCTATCAAACCCCGACAAAGCAAAAGGCAATCACTTGTTAGAGCCGATAAAAAGATACGGAACCAACATCAGAAGAAAACACCCTATTGATGCTATGAGGAATGTTCTTGTCCCTACCGACATATTCATCATGTAAAGACTCAGCCCAATACATTCCTTGACCTCTTAAGTCGCCCTACCACACTATTGAGATGTGATGCCTCTTGTTTCGGCATCAGCATCTAGGGACGTTATTGAGGTTCGAAAACACAGATCAATCAATAATACAACTGTGATAAGTTGAGCATGTTTTAATTTAAACTCCAACATACTCATTAATGAAGGAGAACCGCCGATAAATTAATTAACGTATTAACAACTCCGCCAATATCTCAATCAACTCCTCTGCCGCTTCAACTGTCACTCCTTCCGTCATTCCAACATCTCCACAGATACATTTGATTATCAGCAGGTTATAGTCCCGACAGACTAAAGGTACTGGTAGCCCCTCTATATCCCGGGATTATAATACGGGGAGTCAAAAGTAGAATGTGAAGAATAGCCTCAATCATATATGTGAGACATGATCTCATGGCCCTAGTTATAGAGACGCAGATAAGATGATAAATTTTGTTTGCTACCATACTAAGGCAGCATATTATTATGATATTAATAGACCATGAAATCATTTTCGGTTTTAGACCCCATGTATTACCAAATAGCCATTGATAGGCATATAATTCTTTAATGGCTCTAATGATCGTACTGGATACATGTGAGCTCCAATTTGGTTCAAAAGAGAACTTGATAATAGACTCGTTTAAAGACGGCTCGATTAGTCTCAGAGGTTTAGTTATAGTAACGGTACAAGAATGGTTTTTGAAGGGTTAATTTTTGGACCTTAGTACTCATACCTTTTGGTTGTATTGTTAATAGCCTACTGCATCCTTTTCGACAAGGACATAACCATATGTACGGAAACCTTGGTCACTATGTTTTTCAAGTAGACTATTGGTCATGTTGGTCATATGCATAATAATGGCGTCCCATATTATTCTCGATTTTCCATAAAGGTCAAACTTAATAACTCTTGATGTCACCATTTTCAGAGTATAATTCCTTATAACAGCATTATATGACGTGTCGTCTAAGGCTCCTTGTATGCCTATAAAGACACATAGGGCTATTTGTTTAGAACCCAGAGCCTTTTCACCGTCAGTAACCTTATTGATCAAATTTTAAGCTGGACACAAATACATTTAAAGCAACCACATACCTATAATAATCTGAATATAAAAGATATTATTTTAACTAAAAAATTAAAAAAAAAAACTCTTAAAAAAGGTTTAAAAGGTATAAACTAACAAACTTTTAAGCTGTGGCAAAAAAACAAACTCAAAAAAAATCTAAAAAAATAAATACATACAAATGAAAACAATAACAACATAAGTAGGATTAAAAAAGGATTAACGATGATTAGGCATATAGGCCAAGTGTTAAAGGCATAAAATACAACAAAAAATTGAAAAAGAGTAAAAAAAGAAAAACTGATAAAATAATTGCAATAACAACTAAAAACAACTACTCTAATGCAAATGACAACGATAAGGGAATCATAAAAATATAGCAAAAACAACAACGACGACGACGACACACTTACAAAAGCACATGATAAAGTGCGTGAACATCTGTCAATGGGGGAGAATATTGTATATACAGAGATAACAAGAAAAAAGAACGAAACAAAGGAGAAAGGAATTGAATCGATAAACAAAAAATATAAAAAAATTAGAAAAGAAAAGCAAAAATTGGGGAAAAAGTTTGGCAGTGTAAATGTAAGTGTGTGAGTGTGTGTTTTTTTGAATTGGAAGCAAATAAACAACAAATCAAACATTAAAAAGGAAACATTGAAGTAAACTGAAAAGAAATTAAAAGAACAAAAAGTAAAGGAAAAAGAAAAGCTTTATATGAAAATGAAAATGTAAAGAAAACAGGATATAAAGCCAGCCAAAGAAAGAGAGAGAGAGAACGAAAGAAGAGAGACAATTTAAGAGGAAACTGGAATTTAAAGAGAATTTTAAACAGAGAGCCTGGCAAAAGCTTTTTAACATTTCTATACGAAAATGGCGTAGTATAGTATTTTTAGTATTACCTTCCAGTTAAGCGCCATCTGCAATTGTGTTACAGTCAGTGCCATTTGGGGCCATCAGCCAAGAAGCAGGGTAGTACGGTTAAAATCCTGCGACGCGCAATCCTTATACTTTTCTTTTTTCTACTACACAAAAATCACCAGCCAACAAAAAAATTAAAAAAAAGAATGGAATACCTACAAAATTATTTAAATAAATTTTTGCAAACAAAACTATTTGTTGTTTAAAAATTTATAAAATTTATAAAGAAAGTTTGAAAGTATTAACAAACGGAATAAATGTAAGATAAGAAAAAAATTTTTGAAATAAAACAACAACTAAACTATAGTTTATATAACATAAAAATTTATAACTAACAAAAAAAAATCGTTTCTATAACAAAAAAAAAAAAAAGAAAAAGAAAAATTGTGGGTGAAAAAGAAAGATCTGAAAAAAAAATTTTTCGCATAAGAACAAAAGAAATTTTCGCTTGCGCATCTCCTACATATACACGTATAACGAAAAAATAAGCGAAAAAAAAATTTTTTATACAGCAAAACCCTGAGATTATGGAAAAAATTTAAATAAAGTAAAAAATCGAGTAAAACTTATATAGAAAGAAAAAATTTTGTTAAATAAAATAATAAATTTTAAAAAACTTTTTAATGAAAATTTAACATGATTTTACGTTGATAGAAAGTGTGTTGTTCAAAATTTTCCTTTTTTTTTTTTTTTGAAAGTTAAGTTTTAAGCCTGTATATTCGAACAAAAAGTGGCGTTTTTTTTGGAATTGAAAAAAAGTGGTTTAATCATGAGAAAAACTTGTGCTGATTTTGTTTTACGGTAACTATTATATAATTAAAGGTATATAGTTGTTAACAAAACAATAAAACAGATTGAAAAAATATAGAGAATTGGAAATTGTGAAAAAAAATTTAAAGAAAAATGAAAAGTAAAAGTAATAAAGCAGAGAAAAATTAAAAAAATAAACTAAAACATTTAAAAAATTTGCTTAAAACAAACTAAAAGGGGAAAGTGTGAAGACTTTTTAAAACAAAATTCTATTAAATGTTTAATTGTTGCAATTAAATTTTATAAAATTTAAAAAAGAAAGTTTTGAGTTTTAATTTTCTATTCCTTTTTTTGTAATTTGTTTAATCTCCCTTAAATTCCCTTATATACACATACCGTTACTCAAAGCAAAGGAACAGAAAAACCAACAAAAAAAACCGTTAGTTCTCGTTAATTTTGTATGTTTAAGTTTTTTTATTCTTTTTTTTTTTTTTGACAATTCGTTTAACATCGTTAATTCGTTTTTGTGCTAAATCGTAAAAGGAAACACAAACCAAGATAAAATTTTACTTAAAACCAATTCTTATGTAGCAAAAGAAAAAAAAATACAATAAAGAACAAACAAAAACCAAATACACATAAAGAAAATCCCCCAAAAATAATATAAAAAGAGAAGTAAAAAAAAAATACCAATAGAAATAAAGTAAAACAAAACTATGGCAACTCTTAATACTGGAAAGTTAAATTAATTTAAGGCAAAACGCTTTAATATACAAAGCTTAAACGAAAAAAAGGCTTTTACTCGGCAAACTAATACAAAGAGAGAGAGAGAGAGAAAGTAACGGAATAAATTAAGAGTAATTGAAAGAAAAACAAAAAAGAAAAACTTTTACTGATGTACTCAGAAAGCAAGAGAAAAAACCCGTTAGTTAAATAGTTAAAAAGAGAAAGAAAGAGAGCAAGAGAGCAAGCGTAAGCAAAGAGGGTGTCTAGTAAAAAGTACACAAATAGTGAGAGTAATAGTAATAAGCAGTTAAAACCGTTATATAAAGCAAACACCCAAAAAAACGTGCAAGTGAATGTTACCAAAAAAAAGCTCTATACTTGAATATACCAAAAAAAAAAATAATAATAATAAAATAAATCCAAAAAACCCATAAAAAAACCCCGAAAAATTCAAAAAATTATAACAAAATTTTAATAATATTTATATAAAAAAAAACAAAAAAACCGATATAAATTTAGTTTTAAAACCTTTTTATATAAATTAATATTTTCAAAAAAAAATTTTCTTTTTTAAATCTCTTCAAGGTTACTATAAAACACACAACAGCAGCAAATTGCAGTAATAGAAAACTTAATAAAAAATAAACGTTAAAGAAAATGTGATAAAAATCTGCAGAAAAGAAAACCAAAAAAAAGACAAAAAATTTAAAAAAAAAGAAAAATTTCCAAAAAAAAAAACTATAAAATTTTTCTTAAACAAAAACTAACAAAAACTTTAAAACTACTTTTTTGGCCAATAAAACACCAACAACAACAAACAAGCCCTTTTAATAATAAACAAATTATAAAATTACAATATTTTATAAAAATAATAAAAACAAAATTTAAAACTTTAGAAAAAAAATTTAAAAAAAAATTAATAATTTTGTTTAAATATATTATTTAACTTTCTAACAGTTATTTTCTTTAAGTTTAATTGTTAAAATTTATTATTCAACTCACACACACACACATACATTCATAACATCTTTAAAATTCGTTGTCGTTCCTGTATACATGTTTGTGTTTTAGTCGTATTTATACGTTAACATCCTTAACGTCGTCGTAGTTATTGTTCTTTTCGTTGTTATCATCGTCGTCCTCGTCGTCGTCGTTGTTTTCTTCGTTCTCGTCATAGTTAATCGTTATTATCGTTATATATTAAACAATATAAGTGTGTTATTTTATAAATCCCTTAAAAAAAATAAAACCAAAAACGAAAACCTTTATACTTAAAACCTGAATTAACAAAAAATTAACAAGGATAACAAAAAAAAGAAAGAAAAATTCTGAAAACAACAAAAAAAACCCAAACAGTGTGTTTTACTTTCTACATTATATTTTGCATATTTTTCTCTTAAGTTTTCAAAAAAAAGTGTGTGGAAATTCTTTTTTTTATGAAAAAAATTAGTTTTCTATTTAAATATCTAACATGGCTAAAGTTAAAACTAAAAATATTATATTAAAACTCTAAAAGGATTAATCAGCAAACACTTTTTAATTGGAAATTAATAAACATCTTTAAAAAGAGTGTAAGTGTATTAGTTTTAGTATGTGTGTATGTATGAAAAAGTGTATTTGTATCCGTTACTAAATTTTGTTATCCCAAAAACTATGCTTTAGAAATTGTTATAGTTATTGCACTATATGAAACGGAAATAACAAGACTATTCATTTACTCAATTTTCTGTGGCAAGAAGATAAATGGCATATCTAAAGTTATGCAAAAATCATGTTTTTATACCCAATAGGAGAATATTGATTTTGCCATTCGGTTTGTAACACATCGAAATAATGTTCATAGACCCACAAAAGTATACATATTTTGGGTCATTATCAAATTCTAAGACGATCTAGCCATGTTCGTCTGTCTGTCTGTTGAAAGCACAATAGAGTCTGAACGGAAAGAGCTTGAGAGCTGAAATTTTGTAATATTCTCTATTACTACAGTTTGTTTGGTATTGAAAATGGACAATATCGGTCAATATTTGTTCTTCTTACATCATGATATCAAAAACATAAAAACAAATATGAAACTTTGGAAGCAAAAAGATCATTACAAACATCATGACAGACACTTATAAACATTAACAAATATATTTAAAACATGTAAGAGTTCTATATTCGGCTGTGATGAATCTTATAAACCCTTCATCATGACATGTTAATCAAAAACAGTCAGTACGTATTTTATTACAAAAAATCAAAATTTAAAAAATACCAGTAGGAAAACGAAAATGTACCAGAAAGCTCACTTTTTAAACTTTTATAGGTTCTCAATAACTCCAGGTTCTACATGTTTAATTTCATATTTCTAGGTCCAATATTATAGAAAATTCAAAAAGTTCCTTTTGAAGAACGAAAAAGTACAAAAATGTCTCTTTTTATTGCTTCTCACTTACTTTGGGCACTACATGCTCAATTTCATGTTTCTAGGTTCAATATCATAGAAAGTTCAAAAACTACCAAAATGTCCCCTTTTATTGGTTCTCACTTACTACTCACATGCTTAATTTCATGTTTCTACGTTCAATATTATAGAAAATTCAAAAAGTACCTTTTGGAGAGCGAAAAAGTACCGAAATGTCTCCTTTTTTTAGATTCTCACTCACTCCGAGCTCTACATGCTTAATTTGATGTTTCTAGGTTCAATATTACTCCAGGCTCTACATGCTTAATTTCATGTTTCTAGGTTCAATATAGAAAATTCAAAAAGTTCCTTTTGGAGAACGAAAAACTACCGAAATGTCTCCTACAAAAATGTCTCTTTTTATTGCTTCTCACTTACTTTGGGCACTACTTGCTCAATTTCATGTTTCTAGGTTCAATATCATAGAAAGTTCAAAAAATATCTTTTGGAGAACGAAAAACTACCAAAATGTCCCCTTTTATTGGTTCTCACTTACTACTCACATGCTTAATTTCATGTTTCTACGTTCAATATTATAGAAAATTTAAAAAGTACCTTTTGGAGAACGAAAAAGTTCCAAAAAATCCCCATTTTTTAAGTTCTTACTCACTCCGGGCCATACATTTTTCTAGGTTTAGTATTATAGAAAATTCAAAAAGTACACTTTGGAGAACGAAAAAGTACCAAAATGTCCCTTTTATTGGTTCTCACTTACTCCGGGCTCTACATGCTTAATTTCATTTTTCTAGGTTCAATATTATAGAAAACTCAAAAAATTGCCATACATACATGCTTAATTTCATGTTTCTAGCTTCAATATTATAGAAAATTCAAAATGTACCTTTTGAAGAACGAAAAAGTACTAAATTGTCCCCTTTCATAGATTCTCCTTACTCCGGACTCTACATGCTTAATTTCATGTTTCTAGGTTCAATATTATAGAAAACTCAAAAAATACCTTTTGAAGAACGAAAAAGTACTAAATTGTCCCCCTTTTATAGGTTCTCCTTACTCCGGGCTCTACATGCTTAATTTCATGTTTCCAGGTTCAATAGTATAGAAAATTCAAAAAGTACCTTTTGAAGAACGCGATAGTACCAAAAAGTTCCCTTTTATATGATCTCGCTTACTCCTGGCCATACATGCTAAATTTTATGTTTCTAGGCTCAATATTATAGAAAATTCAAAAAGTACCTTTTGGATAACGAAAAAGTACTAAAATGTTCCTTTTTATGGTTTATAGAAAATTCAAAAAGTACCTTTTGGAGAACGAAAAAAGTAATAAATTGTCCCCTTTTATAGGTTGTCCATACTCCTACATGCTTAATTTCATGTTTCAAGCTAATAACAATATATAGTTTCTCCCGTAACGTGTTGCTCTGCTTTGTTTTTATAAACAAGCAATTACATTAACGAAATTTACCGTATGATTATGTGTGTTGTTGCTGTTGCTTGTTTATTATTTCTGTCTGTGAATGAACGAAAAATTTCAATTTTTGATAAAATTTTTAGAGGTTGTCTCAGATTTTTGCTCATATCTTTTTTTATTTACAGACCGATTGTGCTAATTTTAAATCGTATGTCTAATGGAATTAATTATTGAAGATTTGGATCTCACTGATATCTAGGGTTTTCGGAAAACTGATTTTAACATACACATGGACAGACAGACAGAAGGACAGACAGACATGGCTAAATCGACTATCAATAAGGATCCAGAATATATATATACTTTATAGGGTCAGAAAATAATATTATATAAATTTCAAACGGAATGACAAACTTATAAATATATAAAGGACATCTCTTTTATCCAATTCATTATCAGCATCGTATACATATTTGTATCATTGTATGTTGTTAATGTTTCGCAGAAAAAAATTTTCAAAACAAAAACAAAAGAAAAACTTATGACATACAATGATACAATACGCTGTGAATTTATGTCTAGTTCAGAAAAATGAAGTAAAAACTAAAAGGTGTCGTGTTGTAAATAATGTTTTTACAAAAATCACAGTATCTCGAAAACTAAAGCTAACTTAAAAATTTCATAACGATTTTTGAACTCAGGGTGTCGGCATACAGAGGAATTAGCTTTTCTTATTTAAAAGGCACTCAAATATTAAGATTTTGTTGACTTTTGCCACCAGTACTAGTTTTCAACTTAATGTCGAAATTATTATTGAGTGTGTTTGAAAAATTATTAGCACCATACGTTCTAGACTTATAATATAACACTTGAATCTAATTGGGTCCTTTAGAACCAGTTTTGTTAGTAGTTCTATTGTGTACATAAAGTCCTACTGACCTAATGATCAATTAATGAGAAAATGGTATTTTCATAGCGTACCCTTAAAATTTATATCACGAATTATATTAAAACCAAAACTAAACTCAGATATTGCCTAACATTTCCATAACTGTTTATAACCTGCAGAAATAAAACAATAACGGTTGTGTTCATAAAAACTTATTTTAAGTTTACTAATAACAATTTTTACGCCAAATCCATAAAAGTCATATTCATTGGTACACACATTCTTAATATGTAATAAGAAATGTATAGTTCTCCAAAATCGTTACGGCTTTTATCGATGTTCAATTTTAATCTTTTTCAAAAAGCATAAACTTTAATATCGTATATTTTCTAACATATTTATTCGATTTTAATCATAAGCAAACGTATTTGAGTCAAGGTATCTTCCATTTCTATATGTAACTCCTAAACTAGAATTAGACATGTAAAAAAATCAGATTTTGACCTCTGAGTCCCTTTAATTGATCAATTGGCTTTAATTGATCCTAACTTCCATACAAGGTCCCTTTCAGAGAATGATTGTAACATTCATAGTTTTCGTAAGAAGGAATTTACAGCGATACAATTTAAAATAAATAAGTTTTATAAGAACCAAATACTTTTTAACAGATTTTATAGGGATCGTATAATAATTGACCCTACACCCCACCCCCTCACATAATGTCCCTTTCAGAAAATAACAAATAAACAATGATTGAGGCTTTTTTAAAGGATTGAGACCCGCCCAATCCGGCCTTCATGAGGTCTGGGTATTGAGATATCGTGTCTTGAAGTTTTAAAAACGCAATTTTTGACTCTCTTTGTGACGTTGTAACTGCTCGAAAACAATTTTAATTATAAAATGTTGCATGCCATCTGAAAGTCCATTCTGTCAGCTTTAAAACAAAGACTTAACATTGTCCTATGAAAAAACCTTTTGAATTGTGTTGAAATCTGTTGTTGTTACTGAGATATCATCCCTTGAATTTGACGGACGGACAGACATTGTTAAATCAAATCAAAAAGTATATCGTCAGATAGGTGTGATCGTTATAAACAATATTTACAAGGCACTATAGTAGTTCAGGTAAAAAAACCATGAATATACCAAAAACCATAAGTTTTCAAGCTTTAGGTGAAGATATCTCGAAAAAGAAAGAAGATATGTTAGATATTAAGCCTTTATTTTAAAGTTAATCGAATGGAATTTTCAGATAACATACAACATTTTACAGATAAAGTTATCTTGGCGCTGTTATAACGTCTCAAAAAGCGCCACAAATTGCGTTTTCTCAATTTCAGGACAAGATATCTCAAATCCCAAATGTAATGGAGAAAACCTGAGATTCAGATTAGGATTCAGCGCTATTCAATACTTAGAAACGTCTAAATTGGTCTCAGGGTTACGATTTTTTCAAATATTGTCGGCCTATGTAATTTGAACTACATTTCGTTTTGTAAAATATGTCAAATAATCCATTATCTTAGGTCACGGTACCTCAATATATTTTGCTTCACGGAACCCATTAGAAATCTGTTAATGCTTATTTTGATTTTCATATAAAGTGCAGTTTTTAGGACGAATTTAGGTGGGATGATTGTCTAGAGTCAAGACAATTAAATACTTATGAGAAAGTACTGTGAGGCTTGTAATAAAGCTGTGCATAAATTGAGAACAGCCCGGTGTCACCACTGATGGTAGTGGAGGGTATAAAATTTTTAAATTTGTGCTATATAGACAATTTATTTTCTTAAATTATATATGTATGTACATTTTAAGCAATTAATAATTTAACTAATCGAACAATTTTCACTTTCTTTCATTACAGGTTACATGAACAGACAATATCCGTTTGATGTAACAGTACATAAAAACCAAAAAAAAGAATCAAATGTAATCAATGAAATTGATATCACAAAATTTAATTTTTAATCTTAGAAAAAATCCACGAAAATCGTCTATAAAATCTCGTGCAATAACAGACAAAAAAGAAATAAAATACGTGATTTATATTTCACAAAATTTTAAAAGTTGTAGACTAAACGTGTTGATAAGAAAATTTTACAATAAACCTAATGATGATGGGGCCATGAGCCCATCATTACCGACATTGAGTTGGAGTCGCAAGCGCGTCTCAAGCGGGCCTGCACCATGCTAGCACCGCCGAACCCGAGGTCAATATGCGGCCAGGACCCGGGCTGGTCGTGATGGCGCTTGCGTTTATTTCGGGGGCTCGGCGTGGCAGCACCAGCAGCATCAGTTCAAAGACTACAACAACGTCGTCACCACCACCACCAACACTACAAATTTTAACTACAACAACACCAGCATCATCATTAACATTATTTCAAACGACCGTAACAACATCACCAAAGTTATCATCCTCTTTCTCATTAATTTCTTCTACTACTACTACCACCACCACCTCCACTCCACCAACAACAACAGGCGACACCATCACAACCACGTCATCACCACCAACAACACAACCAATAAAAATTTATGAAAATTTTGGTTTTTTCGGCTCACATCCATTCAAGGAACAAGAAAACGACCATCAAATCCATCTCAGTAAACGGCCCAAAGAACCAGTGCCCTTTAACTTTTTTAATACATTTTTTACTCGCAACTCATACAACTCGAATCCCTCTACGTCCAACTATTTTGCCTACACGTATCCGCTGCCCTCGCACTTAACACAACATTACGACGATCCGCGTGCTCGTACGGAATCGAATACTGTTTTGCACACGGCAAAACATACGCGTCGCGCGAACGCGAAATTTCGTCGGCGACGAAAAAGAAGAACGCGAAGTGCTAACGTTAACTATAGGGGCAGCGGAACTGGCAGCGACGACGCTGCCGAGAATCTCAACGATTCAGACGATACACTGACCTCACTGACAACGGCTGTCGACAGCAGCAGTGACAGTGTATTAAGTGATCAAACAACACTAGCCCGCGGTCTACCCGTACACTTTCCTTCACTAACCGCCGCCGATTCGTCAAGATCCCTTGACGAAGACGATATATTTGCCTTAGTAGCCGAGGACGATCTTCTATCCGAAGAGTCCTTTGATCATTTGGTTAAACTAACAAACGACAAAATTGGTGACACGAACGAAGAAGACTATAGCAGCGGCACGGAGACTGTAGTCGAGTCATCGAGTGGTAGTGGCAGTGGTGCTCCAGACAATGTACTCGATGCACCAGATCAGCAAAATGCTATTGAGGATTTTGTGCGTGAACATCGGCAGCAACAGCAACAACAAGAGCATGATCAGCAACAAGAAGATCATAAAGAAAATCCTCAACTTCAAGATGACAATGTTGGTGACAATGGGAATAAAGATAAACCCAATAGAGATCATGATTCAGAACAAGATGATGTTGATACGATTTATACCGCTCATTTAGTGGGCAATAGCAACGAAAAAGTTGTTTCACTAGCCGAAACAGACTCAACACACTCTTCAGATCCAGTTAGAGCCATCGAGAAAGAGGATAATTTAGTAAGAGCAACAACAACAACAACAACTACCACAACAAAACATCCAAAGGCAGAGTTAGATAGTCCAAATAGATATCATACGATATTGGGTAGTAATTTTGCACTAACACGCCTTAATCCTTGGATATCAGCTTGTGATCTGGCACAACCTGGTCCATTATCAGCACCAGATTTGCAGGTAGGTTTTTTTTGGAATTTTATAGTATAAAAACAAGGACTAACTATAAAGGACAGGATGTAAAGGAACATTTATTAGATCCTGTTTATAAAAATGTTTCTAAAATTTATTTTATTCTTCACATTTATGTCCTTCTGGTATTCTTTTTTTTTCTCTTTTTTCTTAATCAGTCACATGTCAAATTACTTTAATTACTTGTGATTGTCTGTTCAATTGTGTAAGTGTGTGTGTTTGTGGGGGAAGGCGTGAATGCGTGTATTTTTATTTATACTTTATATGGATGTTTAAATGTATGAATTTACTTTTTAAAACGAATGAATGAATAAGAAATAAAGAAATAAATAAGTTAATATATTTCTTTTTAATGTCAGAGTTTAGACAAATAATAACATGACCTTTTCAGGTTTCAATTCAATTTCAATTCGTTGTTCTTTACTACAATTCTTATTTAGAAACTACTACAACAAAACGTAAAACCATCACACATACATACAAATGTATATATACATATATGTATGATATACAACCAGATACATAGATATACGTTCATACAATTTTAATCCTTACTTGACTTTAATACACAATTAAAATCTACCAAATGCTGTATTCTGTATTCCTTCCTGTCATACATTTCTGTGTTTGTGTGTGTTTTGTTCTTTTTTTTACATTTTATTTTTTCAACTAATTTCTTTCGTATTCTTCATTTTGTAGTTTCTTTTTTAATATTTCTTGACTTAAATAGTAGTGACCTTGTGACAGGATAAGGCAAAGAAATATTACATTGTATGAATGTATGTTATTATGGACTCATTTTTGAAAAATAAAGTACCAAAGATTGTTATGTTAAGCTAGTCAAAAACTAAATTTTGACTTTTCTGATTTGATATCTTAAACCTTCGTGAACACCTGCCTTGAAAGCTTTATTTCACGGTGGTATTTTTACAACCACAAGGTGAGCTATTAGACGACTCACCCAAATTCGACATTCTGTATGTGATCGGGATGAGTATAGCCTTCGAATGTGTTCTGAATACATTGATGACGTACCCCATAAACGTCTATGGGCAATTCACCTATAGTTAAGAGCCGTTAGGCCTTTAGTGCTGCGTTATATATATATAGTTATAGTTAATATTAAATAAGAATAGGATATTAGTGCTTTAGTAATCTTCCCATTCAATTTTAGTTCCTTGTATTATAAAAGACATAACAAACTGAGAATAAATATTTGATGTAAAGACCTTTTCTTAATTAAGATGTACTGCAGTAGAGTGTGAGTAAGTGAGAGAGAGAGGAACTAAGAAAACAAAGGTCAAGGATAATAAATAAAATGAAAAATGTGCAACAACCACAACTGCAGAATCACATAAAAGAGCATTCTTATTCTTCTAACAATATGTTTATACTTTGGTTTATATTTTTTTATTAAAATATTAAGAAAAATAATTAAATGGGAAAACAAATTGAACAATAGTTGGTCATAATAATGTTGTATGAGGAGAAAAGTAATTAATGAGGAAACTCAACAACTTCCAGATGATGATTTTAATAACAAACAACAACAAAGTCTTGTTGAGTTCTCGTACAGTTCTAGTTCAGTTCTAGTTCAGTTCTAGTTCAGTTCTAGTTCAGTTCTAGTTCAGTTCTAGTTCAGTTCTAGTTCAGTTCTAGTTCAGTTCTAGTTCAGTTCTAGTTCTAGTTCAGTTCTAGTTCAGTTCTAGTTCAGTTCTAGTTCAGTTCTAGTTCAGTTCTAGTTCAGTTCTAGTTCAGTTCTAGTTCAGTTCTAGTTCAGTTCTAGTTCAGTTCTAGTTCAGTTCTAGCTCAGTTCTAGTTCAGTTCTAGTTCAGTTCTAGTTCAGTTCTAGTTCAGTTCTAGTTCAGTTCTAGTTCAGTTCTAGTTCAGTTCTAGTTCAGTTCTAGTTCAGTTCTAGTTCAGTTCTAGTTCAGTTCTAGTTCAGTTCTAGTTCAGTTCTAGTTCAGTTCTAGTTCAGTTCTAGTTCAGTTCTAGTTCAGTTCTAGTTCAGTTCTAGTTCAGTTCTAGTTCAGTTCTAGTTCAGTTCTAGTTCAGTAGTCTAGTCAGTTCTAGTTCAGTTCTAGTTCAGGTCTAGTCAGTTTTAGTTCAGTTCTAGTTCAGTTCTAGTTCAGTTCTAGTTCAGTTCTAGTTCAGTTCTAGTTCAGTCTAGTTCAGTTCTAGTTCAGTTCTAGTTCAGTTCTAGTTCAGTTCTAGTTCAGTTCTAGTCAGTTCTAGTTCAGTTCTAGTCAGTTCTAGTTCAGTCTAGTCAGTTCTAGTTCATTAGTTCAGTTCTAGTTCAGTTCTAGTTCAGTTCTAGTTCAGTTCTAGTTCAGTTCTAGTTCAGTTCTAGTTCAGTTCTAGTTCAGTTCTATTCTAGTTCAGTTCTAGTTCAGTTAGTTCAGTTCTAGTTCAGTTCTAGTTCAGTTCTAGTTCAGTTCTAGTTCAGTTCTAGTTCAGTTCTAGTTCAGTTCTAGTTCAGTTCTAGTTTCAGTTCTAGTTCAGTTCTAGTTCAGGTCTAGTTCAGTTCTAGTTCAGTTCTAGTTCAGTTCTAGTTCAGTCTAGTTCAGTTCTAGTTCAGTTCTAGTTCAGTTCTAGTTCAGTTCTAGTTCAGTTCTAGTTCAGTTCTAGTTCAGTTCTAGTTCAGTTCTAGTTCAGTTCTAGTTCAGTTCTAGTTCAGTTCTAGTTCAGTTCTAGTTCAGTTCTAGTTCAGTTCTTAGTTCAGTTCTAGTTCAGTTCTAGTTCAGTCTAGTTCAGTTCTAGTTCAGTTCTAGTTCAGTTCTTAGTTCAGTTCTAGTTCTAGTTCAGTTCTAGTTCAGTTCTAGTTCAGTTCTAGTTCAGTTCTAGTTCAGTTCTAGTTCAGTTCTAGTTCAGTTCTAGTTCAGTCTAGTTCAGTTCTAGTTCAGTTCTAGTTCAGTTCTAGTTCAGTTCTAGTTCAGTTCTAGTAGTTCCAGTTCTAGTTCAGTTCTAGTTCAAGTTCTAGTCAGTTCTAGTTCAGTTCTAGTTCCAGTTCTAGTCAGTTCTAGTTCAGTTCTAGTTCAGTTCTAGTTCAGTTCTAGTTCAGTTCTAGTTCAGGTTCTAGTTCAGTTCTAGTTCAGTTCTAGTTCAGTTCTAGTTCAGTTCTAGTCTCGGTTCTAGTTCAGTTCTAGTCAGTTCTAGTTCAGTTCTAGTTCAGTTCTAGTTCAGTTCTAGTTCAGTTCTAGTTCAGTTCTAGTTCGTTCTAGTCATTCTAGTTTTCAGTTAGTTCTAGTTCAGTTCTAGTTCAGTTCTAGTTCAGTTCTAGTTCAGTTCTAGTTCAGTTCTAGTTCAGTTCTAGTTCAGTCTAGTTAGTTAGTCAGTTCTAGTTCAGTTCTAGTTCAGTTCCTAGTTCAGTTCTAGTTCAGTTCTAGTTCAGTTCTAGTTCAGTTCTAGTTCAGTTCTAGTTCAGTTCTAGTTCAGTTCTAGTTCAGTTCTAGTCAGTTCTAGTTCCGTTCTAGTTCAGTTCTAGTTCAGTTCTAGTTCAGTTCTAGTTCAGTTCTAGTTCAGTTCTAGTTCAGTTCTAGTTCAGTTCTAGTTCAGTTCTAGTTCAGTTCTAGTTCAGTTCTAGTTCAGTTCTAGTTCAGTTCTAGTTCAGTTCTAGTTCAGTTCTAGTTCAGTTCTAGTTCAGTTATAGTTCAGTTCTAGTTCAGTTCTAGTTCAGTTCTAGTTCAGTTCTAGTTCAGTTATAGTTCAGTTCTAGTTCTGTTCTAATGCAGAACTAAGAAGACTCAAATTTTGTCTTGTAACTTAAATAGGCCATTTTTTCTGAAAGAGCCTGTTAAACCCTACCAAATGACGTGTGTGTATTGACATACATATATACAAGTTACAACACTTTTGTTGCATTTTATCAATTTGTCACTGAAACTTGTGAAGTTCTTAAAAGTACCTATAAATAAATAATACTATCGTTTATTTACATTGTTGGTTAATCATAAAACCATTGTACTTTAAGTGATTTTAACATAACTTGTTACATTTTTTGTTCACTTTTTTCTCTCCTTTAAAACTCTTGTCAGAAATAAGCAGCAATCGTTTCACAATCAATTCAATACACTCAGCAACTGCTCTACAGCAGCACTCAACAAGCACAAATGAATTATCGTCATCACCACATCCTTTTCAGCTCGAGCAGAAATCATCGAACACAAAAAATCAAGTAATTGTGCAACAGCCCGCCACTTACTTTTATATAGACACAACAATAAAAAAAACGAGAAAAAACCAACCAATTGCTCAATATTGGCAACAACAATTCACTGCAAGTTTTATTTCTACTGCCTCAACAGTCAGCCATTCAGTCAGTCAGTCATGTTGTGAATTTCATCTTGACAGGCCTACAAAAACCGGAAGATTGCATACACACACGTCTTTACTTTTTTGAATTGTTGCCAAATCATCATCATTGTGTTCGTGCGAATAGGCAAAAAGAAGCAGAAACACTTTAAAGCCAAAGGAATTATTAATTCACCAAAGGCATCAAAAATTAAAGGAAAAATTTAGACATATTTTTTGATTCAATCCAAGTCTACTAAAAAAAGTTGATTTAAACTTTTTTGTAGCAGTCACAGGGCAATTTTATATGTGGTCCGATTTGTCCAACTTTATAATGTGTGATTAGTTCATGGTCTACTCAGCCATATGAAGCAGGCATTTGACTAGTCTATGGACGACGTTATGAACTAGACTTTTGACTAGTCTATTGACTAGTCTATGGACCAATAAATGGATCAGTCTGCGATGGTTTAGTATATGATCTAGTCTAGTTTATGAACTGGATATTAACTAGTTCATGAACTAGACATTTAGACTTGACTATCAATAAAAAAGTATATAGACTATATAATGGGGTAGTCTAGTTTATAACTATTCTATGGACTAATATTTAATTCTATGAATAAGTTTATTGACTAGTCTAGTAATAATCGTAAGGACTAGTCTATTCACTAGTCTATGGATCAGTTTATGAACTAGACTATTGATAATTGGAATAGTATATTGACTTGTATATGGAGCAGTCTAGTTAGTGAATATATTATACTAGTCTATGGATCAGTATATTAACTAGCCTATCGACTTATCTATTGACTATTCTGTGAATCAGATTATAAATTACACAATTAACTAGTTGATATATTTGTCTATAGAGTCATCTGTTGACTAGTCTTTTGATTGATCTATGGACCAGTCGGTAAACTAGTCCTAAAACTAAACTTTTTACTGGACTATAAACTAGTACATGAACTATGTTTTTTTTTGAATTCCATGGACTGGCCTATTGGCAAATCTATGAAATACTCTATTGTGAATCCTTTGAATTAGTCTAAATATTAGTTTATGGATTAGTATATGCGCTGGT